AGATGGTTTGGGGTGAGCTGGACCGCAGAGTGAAGGCAAAGGGGCCAACAAGTGCTAAACACCTCTGGGAACTCCTTCAAGACTGTTGGAAAACCATTTCAGGTGACTACCTCTTGAAGCTCATGGAGAGAATGCCAAGAGTGTGCAAAGCAGTAATCAGAGCAAAGGGTGGCTATTTTGAAGAAACTAGAATATAAAACATGTTTTCAGTTATTTCACCTTTTTTTGTTAAGTACATAACTCCACATGTGTTTATTCATAGTTTTGATGCCTTCAGTGAGAATCTACAATGTAAATAGTCATGAAAATGAAGAAAACGCATTGAATGAGAAGGTGTGTCCAAACTTTTGGCCTGTACTGTATTTGATTTAAAGGCATCAATCTGGTGAATTCTGAGAGCCAAGTTATGATGGCAGAATATGCCTAGATTTCAACATCTTTGTGCTTTTTATGTGTGATAAATGTTCTGTTTTAACTGATAAAAACACTAGTGGTATGTTTTGGTGAAGGGTTACACTTAAAATACGGCTAAGGATTAGTGGTTAAACATTTCAGTAATCATCAGAAAAATGACTAACGTACTGATCTGCCTCTGGAGGGCTATTTTATTATTTTAAATCATGTGCAGACAAAATATTCTCTTAAAACTCTCTCACTCACAAACAGATACGCAAAACAATACAAAATATGCAATACGAAAAAAAAACAAAAGGTAAGACTCAAATTAATTACACACAAACAGACACAAATTACTGCTAGAAAACTCCCGCCCTTTTCCTCCTTGTGTGGTGTGTTCCGCATGATCTGGTGGGTTCGCAACTTTAAGTGGTCTGACCGGCAACCTGTTGAGACGATAGTTCCGCGTTCTGCGTTGCCCCTCCGACTCAGAGTTACAGGGGCACTGGCTCCTGCTGGACCCCCCCCCCCCCCCCAAAACCGCCATTGGTGATGATGCAGCCCAGTCGCCAGAAGAAAATGATGTTAGAATAAGTTTTTAGAAATCATGAATATGTTACATTTTTACATGATATACACATCATTTAAACATCTCTAAAGTAACGTATATGAGCTGTCATCTGGAGGTGGAGGGGATGGTGTGATACCAAGGAGCCTAGGAGGGACGCCTGCCAAGCTGTAGACCACTGCAAACCATCATTCAAGACCAAGAATAGAGAAAACTGGTTGGTTTTTTAGTGAGTGGTTACTGGTTTTCCAGTAGTGTTTTTGGCCACCAAACATGGTTGTTTTTTTAGAGAATCTTTGCAGCAAGGATAGTGCCATGAAAATTGGATGTTTTTTTACCAAGACAACACTGTATTTCCTGCTGGGATAGTGCCATGAAAAGCAGGTATTTTAAGCCAAAACATGATCTTTTTGTTATCATAACCAAGTGTTTTTGTGTCTAAATCTAACCATGCATTTACCCCAACATTGTTAAAACGTCCATTTTGTAATGCATACACTACATAATGACGTACCTAGTAATCTAATGTTCGGTTTATGGAAACATACAGTGCCTGCCACCATTTTTTTTTTTTTTTTTGGTGATTAAGTTGGATGACATAATTAAATATGATGACAGACATTCAAAGCTTTATTCAAAAACTTCAATAGAGGCTTCAAACGTAGGAAACGACATTTGGAACACTGATAGTTATTTAAGACTTATCCAATAGGGAAAAAACTCTCCTAATGACCATACTAACTGTCATTTAGTGAGCTCATTAGCTTGGTCACTTATGTGACATCAGGTATACACAGTTAATTCAAAAGAGGTATTAGCACCATTGGCTCCTGTCTCATAATAACTGTCTGCAAACCATTTTGCTTTTGTTAAGTTTGTATTTAGATAGAGGAGGTTGATAAAAGGTGGCAGACATTGTATGCTTTTAGCAGATTTTAACTCCAAACAGATTTTGGATCAAAGTTGTCATTTGACGCATAATTTTAGTGGGATTTTACTGGTCAAACAATCAACAATCTGGCTGTTGGCCAGCTGTGGCAGAAATTTTTGGCCATCTGTCTTGCAGAGCCTTTTCGCAATGAAAATTCCTATGCATCAGTGCCAGGCTACCAACAAAGAGAGCACATGCACCAAACAAAAAATATTTTATCATCACAGATGGGAGACACATTGCAGGGGATTGCCTGTACTTGCAGCTGCCTGATAAACATTTCAGCTTTAGCACCGAGCAGGAATATTCAAGTGGATAGTGTAAGAGAGCTAACAGGCTACAATAGCATCTTCCATTTTGGATCCTTTGTAACCCCAAAGGTCAGTGCTATGTAAATGGCTTGCTAGTTTTCAATGGCATGTCGAAGTTTAACAAAATGGAACTTAAAAAATTTGCATGTGAATCCACTGATTACTGCAATTTTATTGAAATGAGTTAGTTTTGTCTCAAAATTGAGCCATTTTACATGCTAATGTGACCAGGCTTTTACAATGGAACAGAGAAGTTAACACTTTTACTGCTTTGTGACATTGTGCTTTTGGCTAAAAAGATAAAACCTATAAATCTAAAAAAAATAAAATAAAAGAAAACCAGAGGGGCGCCCAGTACCTCAGCTGCAGTGGCTGTGGGTTCAGTTCCAGCCTGCAGCCCTTTGCTGCTTGTCATCCCCTCTCTCGCCCCCTTTCACGCTTACGTCTGTCCTGTTAAATAAAGGCAAAAGCCACCCCAAAAAAGAAAAGGAAACCAGATAGCAGCCCAGTGAAGTGTGTGAAGTTTAAGACAAAGAGTGAACATGGAAAGCAGCAGGAAATACCTTCACATCCAGAGCAGCACTTACTCAGTCCCCTATAAAGACACAGTGCCAATCGAGACTCTCCAGCTGTGGACTATGGTGGTAAATTTCAGCACTGGGTGTGACTGAAAGTGTGTGTGTGTGTGTGTGTGTGCGCACGCGTGCGTGTATGTCAGTTTGGGCTGAACTAGATGGCGTGACAGGAGAAATGTCAGCCTCTACAGAACCCCAGTGAGCTTGGTGTCTTGCTGGCTGCAACAGAAAAAATATAGATCTCTGCTGGTTGCCATGCGGACAGCAGACAATGGTCAAGTGTTCACATCTCCAGAGCTTGGAGGAGATTGAAAGACTTTGATCGATATGTGAACAGCCATAGATATAACTTACTTCAACCAACATGTGTGGGGTACTCCAAAGCATACAGCCCAGTATGTGATTGAAGTTTCAAAAGCCTTTCACTGCTATCTATCATTACTGTATGAAGCATCCATTACGTAAAGGTTTTCAAAAGAAATTTGACATTTACATTTCACATGACAGGTAGCACACACACAGCTACACATAGTTCACCTGTTTACTCTCCCCATTTCACTAATGTGTACACATTAACAGTCGTTTGCCATTTTTACTGGAAATGAGCTGTCAGCCTCTTTCACCCAGGCTTGAGAAGATGTGGGCTTATCACAATAGTGCATGA